CCTCAAAAACCCAAAATGCTTAAGTGGAACAAAGATTTAACAAAACATATAGGGTTTTAATGCCGAAAACTACAAAATGCTAATAAAAGAAATCAAAGGAGATCTAAATAGAGAGATATACTGTATTCATGGTTTGGAAGACTCAATATAGTAAAGATACCAATCCTCCCAAATTGATAGACAAATTTAATGAAATTCCTATCAAAATCCTAGAAATATTTTTGGTATATATAGACAAGATTATTCTAAAATTTTTATAGCAATGCAAAAGAACTAGAATAGCTAAAAAAATTTGAAATATGAAGTGGGAGGAATCACTCTTCCTGATTTCAAAACTTATTATATAGCTACAGTAATCAAAATTGTGTGATATTGGCAAAGGGACAGACACATAGATAAGTGGAACAAAAATCAGAACCCAAAAATTAACCCACACAAGTATGGCCAACAGACTTTTGACAGGCGCAAAAGTAATCCAATAAAGGAAGGATAGTCTTTACAATAAATGGTGATGGAGAAATTGGATATCCATAAGCAAAAAACTGAATCTCAGCCTAAACATCATAGCTTTATACAAAAAAAAAAAAAACACATAATGGGTTGTAGATAAAAATGTAAATATAAAACTTTTAGAAGGTAACATAGAAGAAAATCTGCAGAACCTAGAGCTTGTCAGAGTCTTAGACATGATACTAAAGCATTACCTATAAAAAAAATTGATAAATTAGACTTCAGCAAAACTAAAATTAAATGTTCTGCTAAAAGCATGGTTAAGAAGATGAAAAGACAAGCTATGGACTGGCAGAACATATCTGCAAACCACATATCTGACAAAGGATTCATATCTGGGATATATGAAGAATTCTCAAAACTCAAGTATGAGAAAAAAAAAATCCTAATTAGAAAATGGGCCAAAGACATGCACAGACATTTCATAGAAAAGGATATACAGATGGCAAATAAGTATATGAAAACATTTTCAACATCACTAGCCATTAGAGAAATTCAATTTAAGATCATTTTGAGGCATCACCACTTACCTATTAAAATAGTTCAAGTAAAACATCTGGCTAGGTGGGGGAACTGGACCACTCATACATTGTTGGCGGGCATGTGAAATAATACAGTCGCTCTGGAAAATAGTTTGACAGTTCCTTGAAACACTAAAGATACAGTTGCCATACAACCCAGCAATTGCAGTCTTGGTCATTTATCCTACAGAAATGAAAAAAAAAATAGATGTTCACAGCAGCTTTATTCATAATTGCCCCAAACTGGAATCAGTCCAGATGTCTTCAGTGGACATTGTTTAGCATTAGTGCATGGTGATAATGAAAAGCAGACCAACTTCAGTTGTGTTTTATAATTCTCTACACACAATATGCCCCTTTATTGTCTGCAGCCAGGATGAACTGCTTCCACTGCCCTGCCCTTGGTACACCACTGCTGAGAGGTAACAGTAGTACCATCAAAGCTTTCATTAAAATTGCTGTCCTTCCACTAAAGCATGGGCCAGGCACTCCCCTCCCCTCCAAAAAAATAAATGACTTTAGAAATAGCAGCAAATAGAGGCTATTTCTGAAATCCATATTCATAACACTGTTTCCCTTCCCTAAACAAGAGTCTTGGCCCTTCTGCACCTTATTCAGGGTCTCTAGTACTTTCCACGGTGAACAATTGAAAAAGGCTCCAAAACACCTTGGACAGTGGATGACTTGGTGACAGCCATGCTCCCCAGAAAGAAGAAATACAGTTGGCGCTTTGAGGAGGGCTTTATGCCTCTGATTTTCCATTTTCAGGCAGCACTTGATTGTGACCCCACCAGGTAAAACACCATTGGTTTATTTGGACTTAATCTGAGATTGTAATATCTCCTGCCTGACATCATGGGGTTCCTTTAAGCAGAATTAGGCATAGAGGGAGGATTAGATAAAAGGCACTCATCTAAGCTGGGAAGGATATACTATTCTGATTACTGTGAAGTGTCAGTGGGGAAAACCTCTCACCCCTGATTTCATTTAATAGTAGTAGTAGTAGTAGTAGTAGTTGCTTACATCTTAATTGAATTGGTTACAAATTAGGAAGTTTTGGCCCAGCCCTATAAAATGTCATTTTATATATAGATATTATGAGAAAGCTCATGCTAATGATTATTATTATAATCTTAGTAACTGACAATATACCTTGCCACTCATGCACACACACATACATACACACACATATATGCATACAGACACACACCCGACTCACTGTGGGCTCTTTATAAATAAGTAAAGGAGATAACCAGAGCAAAAGAATTAGGCAGAGAGGGAAGGGAAGTTCAACAATCACTTGTGGACCATCATGTGCCACATACTCTGCTTGGGGACTTTACATATCTTAGACTATTTAACCCTCATCGCATAACATGCAAAGTAGGTGCTATTATTATTATTGTGTTACTGATGAGGAATTGATGTAAGAGGGCTGAGAGAAGTGAAGTGAAATAATCAGATTATGTCACTCTCCTGCTGTTTAAAATTCTAAAATGATTGCCATTTCCCCAAAGTATAAAAGTCCTAAGTCCTCATCCTGATCTCCAGGCAGCATTCTGTCAATCTCCCTAGTTTCTTCTCAGGCCCCTTCCCTCTTGCAATAGATGCTCCAGCCACACTTTTGTTCAGTTCCTCTAATGTGCCATATTCTTTTCTGCTCCAGAGCCATTGTTCATGTTATCCTCTCTGCCTGGACTGCTCTCCTCTGTGTCCACCTGCATTTACCAGTTATCTCCTACTCATTCTCCAGGTCTTAGCATAGATATCATATCCTCAGGTCTCAAGAAAGCTTCCACTGACTTCTTCCTTTACTCTCTAATGTCCCTCAGACTATGTTAAGTCCCTTTGTTGTATCCTTCAGTTGCATTCTGCATCTCATCCCTACTACTCATCACATGGCTTTATATGTAATAGTGCGCTCAGGATCCATTATCCTCCATTATGAAGCTTCTTGTTCACAGACCATCCTATTCTCTGCTCTATCCCTAGTATCATGCATAGCACATGATACATGTTTCATAAATATTTGTTGAATGAATGTATATTTAAGTTATCTATAATTGGTATATAATAGGTACTCAATAAATATAAACTATAAATATAGTTGTTATTATTATTGTCCAAGGGCAAATACCTAGTCGGGGCAGAACCAAGATTTACACCAAGGTCTGAATCTAAAACTCATTTTTCTTTTACAGTATGGCTCTGTTTGCAGAAATGAGTTCTAGACCCAGAACTGCCACCATCTGTCTGGCTGTATGACTTAGAGTAAGACACTATATCATTCCGAATCTCAGTTTTCTCATCTATAAATTGAAGTAAGGATAGGCAAAGTTTAGATTGCTCTTCATGTAATCTAGAAGAGAATTGAAGCCTAGATAGGAGAGGTTCTAAATAGTTAATTAATTGACCAAGAACCCTTAATATCTTTATGCTCTTTAGCCTGGGTAACCCCACTCAGGCAGTGTAGAGTAATGGGTGATGTTAGAGAGTCCATCCTGGGCTTAAATCTCAATGTCCTTTTTGCTAGCTCTGTGGTCTTGGGTAAGTTAATAGCCTGAACCTCAATTTTCTTCTTTACAGATGGTATAATAATGTCTACATTTTTATGCCTTCTTAAGGTAAAAACAATATAATGACATGGAAATAAATTTTTGAATATAGAATGAAAATTTTCCCACATGATCCTACCCAAACAATTCTTTCTATGCTTCTGTCATCGACAGCTACCTTATGATACAGGAGCCACAGGCAATATTGAGAAGGGAGAGAGAGACAGAAGACTAAAGCAGGCTGTGGTCAGAGGGCAGAGTCTAGGGTGTGGAGCAAGAGCCCCCATGGGATGGGATGGAGCAGAGGATAAAGCCAGCTACTGAGGAAGAAAAAATGAGATGCCAAATCTGAGAAATGGACAATGGCTAGGCGATACTTGAGAACCAGAAAGTAGAGAGCCAGTGTAAGGATAACAATGTACCCTGGAGGGGCCTCCTTCCAAATTTTTGTGACCCTGTCACTTAGGCAGACTTCACTTAGTGTATGTGCTGCCAAAGTGAGCACTCAAATGGTCTTAAAGATCCTTACAAGTGTACCCTGCTGATTCCTTTTCTTGTTTAGTCACATGCACGTATATTTTGAAATTGCAATCTTAACATGTATACTTTTTGACTGCATAGCATATCTTCAGTATTTTTCATGTCACAAGTTTTCATAATGATTCTTTTTAATGGCTGCCAAATATTCCAGTTTTGCCAATAACCCAGAAATCACATTCTTGTATATTAACTTTTTTGCTTCCTTGAATTATTTCCTTAGAATAAATTCTCAGGTGTCGATTACTGAGTCAGAGGGTAGGCAATTGATATATAACAATGAGAAACAGGTTTTATTTTTCTAAGAAATGAGCTACAGTTCTTTTCTTCTTCCTGTTCTGGAAATGATGAGTGGACTTTATAGAGCCATGTTGTCCAACATAAAAGCCAATAACCACATGTGACTGTTTAAATTTAAAGTTTGATTAATTAAAATTAAATAAAATTCGAAATTCAGTTTATCAGTTGTACTAGCCACATTTCAAATGCTCACTAATTACATGTGCCTAGTGGCTGTATTGGAAAGTATAGATACAAAACCTTTCCTTTATTGTAGAAAATTTAATGGATAGTACTGCTCTAGAGGTTCTCAAGAGGTTATGGTTAGCATCTGGGGTGGGAGCTAAAAACCTGTCCAATGTTTGCAAATGTCCCATAAAGAACAAAATTATATCCATTTGAGAACCAATGATGTTTTATTTTAGATGAAAGACTCACCTAACTTTTTAAGGATGGATTCATGTTGGCTCTGCTTGGAGAGAGGCAAGCTTAGAAAGATGGCTTAGGAAGAGCCCTGGCTCAGAGGCTAATTCTGTACTCCATTCTCATTTTCCTCCCTTCTCCTCCCGATATGTATCCTGGTTTTGGGGAATTGCAGGAACAAGACCATGCAAATGGAGAAGATTAAGGCCCGTTTGAAGGCTGAGTTTGAGGCCCTTGAATCAGAGGAGAGACACCTGAAGGAATACAAGCAGGAGATGGACCTCCTGCTACAGGAGAAGATGGCCCACGTGGAGGAGCTCCGACTGATCCATGCTGACATCAATGTGGTATGTAGCTAGCTGCCTGAAGCCTACCTCTGGGCTCTTTGAGGAATAAGTAATAGTGAGTGCTGTAGTCTTTCTTTAAGTTGCTGTGGCTAGCTTGGGGAAGTAGACATCAGGCTGTGGTGGAATTGAAGAATCCAGGACTTCTGAGATCCCACTTTGGCTCTTTTACTGATAGACTGTGTATCACTGGATAAATCCTTTCTTCTTTCTGGGCTTCATTTTGCCTTTTTGTACTATGAGAGGGATTCAGTCACCTCTGAGGTCTCTTTCAGCTCTGATGTGCTTATTCTGGGAGTCTGGGAGTTAGGAGCTAGTCTTGGTGAAAAGCAGAACAGGCAGTTGCCTATGGGGTCTAGCCTAAAGGTCTCCAAACTTCTAACTGGGCCAAATAAATTATTTCTGCTGGTCTGCAAAAGTGGGACCCCTCATGAGAGTCTCTCTTTTGGAGATTCTTGGAACATGAAGAATGAACTGTCTGCTAAGGTGATAAGTTCCGAACTTTTTGGAATTGCTCAAAGTCTGAATGATCACCTGTCTGGGCTGCAGTATTGACGATTCCTTCACCAAGAGAAATGTTGGAGGTGTTGACCTATAAGATCCTTTCCAACTCTTAGAGCTTATGACAATGAGAAGTCTTTTTCTTTTTTTTTTTTTAATTACATTTGAATGAGTTAAATATCTATTCTTGGGAAAGTCATTTCTGTGCCAATACTTATTTCCTAATTTTGCCAGGCCTAGGTTTTTAAAGGAAATATGAATGCAATTTGGACAGTAGGTATTTGGGATTTTCTGTGTCATAAGATCACAGGATTCCAAGGTCTTATGAGGAGTTGGCATTTCTGCTGCCAGATAACCCAAGGATACAGAGCCAATGAAATGAACAAGATATTAGCCACAGAGGAGCTAAGAATCTAGGCCAATAGATCTCAAACTTGAACATGATTGAGAATCACCTGGAGGGCCTGTTAAAGCTGATTGTTAGATTCCACCCTAGAGTTTCTGATTCCATGTGGCTGGGCTTGTGCCTGAGAATGTGTATTCCTAATGAGTTCCCAGGTGATCCTGATGCTGCTGATATGGTGACCACATTTTGAGAATCATTGATCTAGAGGAAAGGCCGCTAGCTTGGGTGGCAGAAACCCTGAGTTTTTATCTAGGCTCTACCCCTAAGAAATATTTCTCTGAGGAAGTTTCCTCTCTCTGAGTCTCAGTTTCCTGATCTGTAAAATGGTGGCAGGGTCTACTAAATGAGCTCTAAAGGCCGTTCCATCTCCCAGGTGCTATATTTATATAATACATGCCATTTATTGAGTCTTTACTCTGTGTTAGTCCCTGTACTGAGAGCTTTATGTAAATATAATCATTGACTCTTCACCAAGATTATATGAGGTAGATACTATTATTATCACCATTATATAGATGAAGAAACTGAGGCTTGTCAAGTCATATACGATGCATAGCAGATTGAGGACTTGAGCACATATTGGTCTAGCTCTGGAACCTGTGCTATTATCCACTCATCTGTATAGCCTTGTCAAGAATTTTGGGGTCTTTTCTCTGTTACTACCTCACTCTGTGTTCCAGATGGAAAATACCATCAAACAATCTGAGAATGACCTAAACAAGCTGCTAGAATCTACCCGGCGGCTACATGATGAGTATAAGCCACTAAAGGAACATGTGGATGCCCTGCGCATGACTCTGGGCCTGCAGAGGCTCCCTGACCTATGTGAAGAGGAGGAAAAGCTCTCCTTGGAGTAAGCTGCCCGCCCCCATCCCTGCAACAGACACCACACACAAACACACGCATATACAGAGCCTGGTCTGAATGTCAGGGTACCCAGTTATAACCCCAAACCTATCAGTGGCTGACTCTTTGTATGACCTTGGACATTCCTCTGTGCTGGGCTGTTACATCAAAAGAATGATGATTCAACTAGAATTACTAGATAGCTTTTAAAATTCTTTGTGTAATTTTAATAATACAAGACTCTTCGTGTGTGTCTGTGTGTGTGTGTCTGTGTTTGTTGTGTCTATACTCTTAAGAGGTCAATTCCCAAGTCACTGTCTAGAAGAGATGTCCAGAAACCTTTGAAAACACAGAAGGCTGAGCTTTCATGATCTCCAGGGACTAGCCACTTACTTCATCTTAAGACCCAGAGTTAAGTACTAGGCTTACCTTACAGAGAGACAAAGTTCAGTTCGGTAGAAGGAAACACACTTCCTTAAGTCAGAGCAAGTGGAAGTGGTGAGTTTGTTATTCCTAGAAGTATGTCGGTAGAAGCCTGAGGACACTTAATAGAAATACTGCAAAGGAACATGGGATTGAGGGTAGGTGAATAACCTCTGGGGACATTGCTAACCTTGGGATTTCTTTATTTCTGGATCTGTCAGAGCCAAAGAACAGGATGATTATCTTCCCAGCAGACAATGGATCTGGTACCAAGAGAGAAGAACCTTGTGTTGGGGAGGGTGTAGGAACTTTCTATAGTGAGCCATAATCCAACTCCTTTGATTCTGTGGCATGGAGTTCTTAAGAGGGGCAAGGTTCTCCTTGTTTTCAGAATGATCCAGCTAATGTCTCTCATCTCCAAAGTTACTTTGAGAAGCAGAAAGCAGAGTGGCAGACGGAGCCTCAGGAGCCCCCCATCCCTGAGTCCCTGGCCGCTGCAGCCGCTGCCGCCCAACAACTTCAAGTGGCTAGGAAGCAGGACACTCGGCAAACAGCCACCTTCAGGCAGCAGCCCCCACCTATGAAGGTGAGTGAGCTGCATAGGGGCTGTAGAAGAAGCAAGTTATGCTTAAGCAGCTCCATGGAAGGCTGGAAGATATTGGCCTTATTTATTTGAGACCTTTCTAAAACATCCTTTGCTTGGGACACAGAAGAGTATGGTATATGTGTTGGAGTAGACCTGCTGGTTTTGTTGCCTCACATTCTCAGAGGAGTTAGAATGCAGGGAGATTGGCAGTGTCTGCTAAAGTATAATTTTCAAAAAGTTAGAAACATGACTTGTACAAAAATATAATAAGCATATATCATTAATGAGGGAGCCAGCAGGATTACAAAGCTGGTTCCAAGAGCATTTGAGGAACAGATAATTATGTAGTCAGGAAAAGAAAGGAATGCTGAAATAAGTTTGCAAAGTTAAATACAGAACTGGTTAATGTCCCACAAGGCAATTAAACTATAACCTTTGTGATTATCTTTTCTTTATAACAGAAATAGTCTGCATCTCTATTGGGCAAAAAACATTCATAGCTTATCAGTATAAGTCGCAGCATCTGGGCCCTGATCAATAGTAAATAGTCAAACAAAGGGACATTCTCCTAGAGCAGGGGCCAGCAAACTAGAGCCCACGGGCCAAGTTTGAACTGCTCCCTGATTTGCAAATAAAGTTTTATTGGCCAACACGCATACCTGTTTATATATTGTCTATAGATTCTTTCATGTAAAACGGTTGGTATTGAGTAGTTACAACTAAGACCATATAACTCAAAAAGTCTAAAATATTTACTATTTTGGCCTTTACAAAAATAATCTACTGATATCCTGTCCTAGAGAATTGATCCTTAAGTGGGCTTGTTAAACCATGTTCCAGTATAATGCTAAATGGATACGCAATTCTCATTTTGCCTTATTTCCAAGTTTTAGATGTTTTCCCTCAATACCCCTTTTTGACCCTTACTCCCTTATATCTTTTACATTACTTATATCCAGCGCTGATCTCTCTACTTGAGTCTCACTCACTGATTACTGCTCCTTCCTGTTGGGAGAAAAAGCACTATTGCTTTCTGGACCCATGGGGATCAGAAGGCTGAAGCACAGACTAGAAAAATCTGACTACTAACTTTCTTTGTCCTGTGTACCCCACCAGGCCTGCTTGTCATGTCACCAGCAAATTCACCGGAATGCACCTATATGCCCTCTGTGCAAAGCTAAGAGTCGGTCCCGGAACCCCAAAAAGCCAAAACGGAAGCAAGATGAATGAAGAGAGGGAGAACACATGGAGCTCTGCTGCTCATAACCCTTCCCTTGGCCAGTGATTGATCTCCTAATGTGAAACAACCCTTCCCCACCTCTACCAAGTTTCCTGTTTAATGTGATAAAAGCACACAACCCATTGCTCACTTTGTTCTTATTTCTTTCTGATCTTGGGGTTTAGTTTAGGAAGAGATGTGATTCAGATGCTAATGAAAGTGTATCTGATGATCCCTTCTTTCTCCCTACATTTCAACCCCTGCCCTTGTTTGGAGCTAAAGGAAGGGCAGAAGGCCCAGATGTAATTCTCTGTCTCTTATGCCTGAGGCCTGGGACTAAGGTCTGAGGATTGGGGGAGAGCCATATCTTATTTCACGTAAAGGCTCCAGTGTGCCCCCTCCCTGTACTTTTGCCTTAGTCTTCTAGCTGGACTTTCCAGTAGGCTTGGTGCCTATGTTTGCCCTAAGGTCATCTCAAATCAAGGCCCAGAGGTAACTTGGAAAAGCCCTCTTTTTTATATTATTTGTGGAGGCCTGGCTGTTATTATAGAGTTCACCACCCTACACCCATCCTCAGTCTCCTAGATATACAAAAGTTCTCAGGTACCAGGCTGTGTATCTGGAGATCCTGAGATCTGCAGGCCTTTCTCCCATAATCCTAAGTTTTGCAAATCAGTAGTAGAAGTTCCCCACAGTGACTCAAGGGACAGAGATAGGGGTTGGCTGACTGAAAAAGTTTTAGCTCTAGGTCTCAGTCCCTGGCTGGGGAGGGAGAGATATTTTTCCTTCTTTCTTTAACTGCAGGTTTAAGTTGCCACAGTGTCTGTGTTCATAATATAAGAGATTCCTCTGCTCTTTGAAAGTAAGAGTGTTATGTCTGTACAAATCCTTTTAAATAAACATTTGTTCTTTGAAGTAAAGGCTGACTGAGTGCCTATAAGTACCAAGTAATAGAAAAGATGTAATGCCCTTTCTCTTTCTGGGTAGCTCTTCTTCATTCTTATTCACGCCCACTTACAAATGAGGAAACCAGGCACACCACTGCACAATAGTTTATCTTATTATAATTTCCATTTATTCAGTACTTACTCTTTGTCAGGCCTTTATTCAAGATGCTTGATATAAATGATTATATTTGATTTTCAAAACAACTTTTAAAGCTAAGTATTCTTATTGCCATTTTTCCAGAAAAGTAAACTGAAGTTCAGAAAAGTTAAATAACTTGTCCATAGTTAAACAAACTTCTAGCAAGAGACATTTCAGTAACTGAACCCAGATTTGTCTGGCTTCAGAGATCATTTTTTTCTACTTTTTATCCATAATCATTTTTTAAGCTTTCTTCCTCTTTGGAATGCCTTGATGATAGGAGTAGTTAAAATAACTCTGGACTAGAAATCTGGTACTAGGGGTCTAGTGACTAATGCAGGAATATAAAGGCCTGGTTTCTTGTAGAGATAGAATAGAGAACAACTGGGAAGGGCTATTCCAGCTTCAAAGCTTTCCCTAGGGTGGACTGAGATTTCCATTAAGGCTGTGTTGCAGTTCAACAGCTCACTCTTCCAATTCTGCCTCCTTCTCTTCTCTTCTTTTCTACAAGTGTTGATCTCAGGGCTTCCTAATTAATATCCTGAACAGTAAACTGTCCTAATGCTCCCAAGAAACTCAACAACTAAAAAAAAAATCTGTGCCTCAGTGTCCTCATCTAATAAATGGAAAAAAATAATAGTACCTACTTCTGGGGTTATTGTGAGCAATGCCATAGTAAGCTTTCAATAAGTTTGTGCCTCTGGTATCAGGTAGATTGGCTGACTAGTCAAAAGAAATGTTATTCATCTTACCTGACATTATCATCCAAGATTTTGTTCAGCTACATACCTGCTTTTGAGATGGCCCAGGCTCACTCTGGGCAAAGGGAAGACATTCAGCTGTGTGACTTGGAGTACACCTTAACCTGTATAGGCCTCTGTAGGTTTCTGTAAAGTATAGGAGTAGTATTTATTGCTTTGCATCTGTGGCACACTGGAGGTCAGATTTGCCAATTAGGTTGCAGCACCACTGGTCAGGTCAGTTATTTCCCAGGATCAGGTCTTAGTAGCAAGGGAACACTTGTTTCTTGAGCACCTACATCTGCCAGCCACTGGGTGGAGTATACTATCTCATTTAGTTTTCCCAGTTCATTTATCTATTGTGAAACAAACCACCCAAAAACTCAGTGCCTTAAAACAATCACCATTTGTTTGCTTGTGATTCTGCAATTTGGGCAGAACTTGCTTGGAATGACAGTTCTATTACATGTGGTTTTGCCTCAGACAGTTTGGATGGGGCTGGAGGATCCCAGATGTCTGCACTCTTATCTAACACCTCAGCTGTAGTGGCTGAAAAAGCTGTGGGATGGCTGAGCCCCACACCTCGCTTTATGCTATTTTATCTTCTTCTCTTTCTCCATTTGGCCTCTCTCTCCAAGTAGAATAGCCAGACTTTTTTTTTTTTTTTTTTAATGTGCCAGAGGGCTTCCAAGGGAGTAAGAATAAAAGCCGCAGAATTTTTGTGGCATAAGTCCAGAAGTCATACAACAATACTGCTGCTGTACTCTGTTGGTCAAAGCAAGTTACAGAGCCAGCCCAGATTTAAGGAGTGGGGCAAAGAGACTCCACCTTTTGATGGGAGAAGCTGCATGCATGTCACAGATGAGAAGACTTGTTGGCCATATTTGCAGATAATCAACCACATCTTCCAGCAACAGCCTTGTAAGGAAGGTGTTATGTATGTCCATTTTTATAGATGGTAAAACTGAGGCTCAAAAGTGTAAATTAATTGCCCAACAAATAACTAGGAAGGGGAAAGGCAGGAGTGAGATCTATATTTGTCTGCTTCTGTAGCCTGTGTTCCTTCAGCCTAAGTGCAGTGCTGTAGGTAATTCCCAGATCTGTTTAAGAGAATAAAGAAGGAAAGAGAAAGTACAAAAATAGAGTGAAAGAAGACAAGTGGGATGGAGGAGAGATAAGGAGAGTAAGTGAAGTTATTTGTTTTATTGGTAAAATACTTTACACATAAAGCACCTTCTTCAACGTTCTCATTTGATACTTATGTTAATAACACTACTAGTAGTAAATCATACATTATTATCATTCACATTTTACAGACCCAGATCGAGAACTGACTCTCCCAAGGTCACATGGCAAGTTAAGAGAAAAGCCATAACTAGAACCTACGCATTCCAATCTGGGAACAACACGTCTGGGTCCCTCTTTACATATTTGACACAGTGAGGATAAACTGTATGCATGTTTTGTGCCAGAGGCTGTTGCTTTTACACTGAGGATAGCTTGCTTCACAGGGGGAGGCCAGGCAATTTTAGCAATTATGCTTTTAAAATCCAATCTCTTGTTACTGTTATGCCCTCAACTTCTTTGCAACCATCAGCATCTTGCAAGGTGACCTCTGGGAAGTCTGTTAATTCAGGGCTGAGTGCCCTTAGGTTAATTATTTAATCTCTTTGGGTCTCTCTTTTCTCATATGTGAGGAAGGAATAGTAGTTCTCTCATAGCATTGTTGTGAAGGTTAAATGAGCCAATACATGTAAAGTGCCTAGAACAGCACCTGATGAAAAACATTCAGTAAATGGAAACTATGAGAAAGAAAATGACATTGATTATGACTGCCTTCCTGAGAGGCCAAAGATGATGATGATGAAGGAAGGAGGAGGAAGAGAAAAGAGGAGGGAGAGAGAGGAAAGGGTACAATAGGAAAGGAAAGGATTGCCTCCTGCAGGACTGCCCATAGAGGGAAAAGTGATAGCTGAAAGTCATGGTTCCTTTCTGGGAGCTTGATGAGACTCAGGCTCTGCTGCCATCTGCCACTGAGTCTGTTTAATGGTTGCAAAAGACACAAGGCCCTCCTGAGAACTAGGCAGAAATCCCCTTTTCTACCACATTTTTTCTGCTTGTGGCTGGGGAGAGAAGACCATTCCTAAACAAGAATTTCCCATAGGTTGTCTAGGCTCGTGTACACTTTAGTGGCTTCTGTACTGCATAGTACAGGGAAATGACACTGACCCAGGAGCCAGTTGTCTCTGGGTTCAAATCCCAATTCCTTTATTTCTTAACAGTGTATTCTTGAACAAGTCATCAAACTTCGTCAATCTTCAGTTTCCTCATCTGAAAACTGGAGAGAATACTTGCTCTGTGGGGTTTTGGAGAAAAATTTAAAAATGAAGAAGGGGAGGATCACCATTCAATGGTTGCCCATAATTTAGTGGGCACTGTGCTTAGTTCTTTCCCATACTTCATCACACATAGGAGGCAAAATAGTGCAGTGACTTAGAGTATGGATTCTAAAGTTAGAGAGGCTGAGTTCAACTCTCAGAAATGCCAATTGCTAACTGTGTGACCTTCAGTGGGCTCACTAAATTCTTGAAACCTCATCTATACAATGAGAGTTATAATAGAATTTACTTCATTAGATTGTTATGAGGATTAAATGAGAACATTTATGAAGTTCATATAGAAAACATTACTTAAGTGTTTGATAAACAAAGAAGAGAAATCAAATCTTCCTAGCAATACCCAGTGTCATCAACTTAAAGATGAGAAAACTGAGGCTAGTGGAAGTCGAGTGCCTTCAAATTTGGGTCTGTCTGACTCCACTAAACCACAAAAATGTGTAAAATAGTGTACTTGTGTCTGCAATTTATTTGAGGTGCATCAAAAGTTAGATGGATTAATAGATGAATAGAAGGTGAGATATATGATAAAATGTATCCAGTAGAATGCTAATTGTAGAATTTAGGTGGGGGCCTATGGGTGTTATATATAAAATTTGCTGTATATTTAAATTTTTATGTAATAAAATATTGAAGAGATAAAATATCTATCTGATAATGTTATTCCTTTCCCTAAAAGCCTCGGTTTGTTCCCTAGCATTCCCACTTTATAATGTGACCTCTTGTAAAATCAGTGTAGCATTTCACTGACCCCAATGGAGTGAGAGTGACAGCTCTGCTCTCCCATTTAGCGTGACCGACTTGTCTTTGTTTTCCCAGAACTAGTTTGGTTTTAGAATTGATAGTCCTACATCCTGAGAAACCCCTCAGCAAACTGAGATGGTTGGTCACTCTACTGCACTTTTGGGCCCAGCTGTGCTATGAGTCTCTATTTTGTTTTGTTTTTCTGGTAGTGCTAAAGGTAGCTATCATCTATTATTTCTAATTCATGTCATACCATACTCAAGGGCTCTGGCAGTTTGATATCTAACCCTGATCCATTCACTCCACCATTTGGACAGAAGCTGCCCCCTGCTGGTGATAAAGTACATCTGTTACAGAACCTTTCCCACATTGCTGTGCATACCAAGTGCAGTGGCAGGTTTGTCTACTGCTTTCTTCTCCATACATCACTGCAATCCTAGCCTTTCAATCTTGAAATCTCATACCCCTGACATTTACAAGGGCACTGAGGCACTACCCTTGATCTCCAAGTCCTACTGCTAGCCTCAACTCCAGACATCCTTCCACGTTCTGACCAAGTAACTGCTATGCCCACCAAGAAGCATCTGAGTTCCATCCAGAAAGCAGAAGTGATGCTTCTACAGCAGGCAGATGGTTATATTTATCCAAAAAGAAAAAAAGAACAGATATCCTTATCTGGCAGTAATGTAGGGAGGAGGCAAGAGAACTAAAATGTTAATCAAGCCGCATTCAGAGACTTCAATATGCTTATCAGCCCTGCAGCCAGGCCAGAAGGACACCTTCAGAACAAAGGAAGATTTCTGCTGGGATTGCTAACAACCCATTCTGCACACCTGTGAAGGGGAAACAGGAACCAAGAGTCATTCCTTATGGGTAAAACCTTGGGGAACCTATGGATTAAAGTCTGGGAACTGCCAGCAGGACTTTCACTCTATTTTTTTTTAATTAAGTTTA